GCAAGTCAAGGGAGTTCCAACATTCATGGGCCTTTTCAAACAGAAACCTGGCTAAGAACCCTTTGATACCACTTCTGACTTCCCAATGTCCCTTGAGGTCAGATGACTGTAGGTGCAAGGCTTTAGCAATCTCTTCAAGCTTAGGTTCCTTTTCTGTACCGTTGAAGGGTAGCTGATCAAGGATAGGGATCTTCAGGAGCCAGGAGAACTCCTCCAATGTAGGTACCAGCTGATAATCCAAGAAGGTAAAACAGTGATGCAGAGGGTCAAAGAACTGGAATAGGACCTTTATCATATCTTCCTCAATGTTGGTATTGACCAAGCTGATGAGACTCCCATGTCTTTCACTGAATGAAGAGTTCTCGGGGATCCTGGATATAAGCTCCTTAAGCTGAGGAGGGATCCTTACAAGACTGATTTGAATTGTCTTTCTACGAACAATTTCCATGTCCTACAAAACAAGAACAAAGATGAAAATTCGAACCCCTGAAATGGTTAGTCAATGCATATGATGCTGGATGATGTCATGATGCTATGATTAAACACACCACAGATATTTACAAAGACAAACATGTAAGGCACACAAGGCACACAAGACAAGCCCTTAAGGTTTAAGGCCAGCATGGGGTCTGGGTAGTACCCTCTTGAAGTTGGTGGGCTCAACCTGTCCTAATCAAAGTAACTGGGTTCTAAGGATCCCAATATCACGGGATTGCTTTCATTGTTCATTGTTTCGATTTAGCCACTGAACTGGCGACCGAAATATTCCAGGAAAGCAACCCTCAATTGAGTGTAGTATCGAGTATCAACCAACCTTGGACTGCACCAAAGTCAGTTATCTCACTACCCTAAAGAGGCCAAGATAGTTCAATTAAGGTTCCTAAGGTCTGTTGATGCTTCACGACACCACGCGGAGGCCCCGTACTCTCCTTGACTGAACTCAAGGGTTACCGGTACACACCAAAGTGCCACATCAACGTAGCAGACTGTTTCAACCATGTCGGTATACCCCGCACAGTTCCCTCACAGCCTTGTTGCTACTTTCTAAGAAGGTATCCCCCAGATCCGGGTTAGGATCTATAGAACTCCAAAGACAGTCCCACAATTTAAAGCAAGCAAAGAAAGCAATTGAAAACACAGTTATGAACTAACCCTAAGGTACACCTCACTTTAAGTTAAGTCCCCAGCAGAGTCGCCAGTTCTGTGATCGGTGGATCTGGAACTGACTGTTTAACGCTGGTTCGCGAAATGTCGCGGAAGCAAGAGTCGCCACCGTCTTTTATTTTCTCCAAATGGAAAGGACAAAAGCACAGAAAAATCCCTTAAAGAGATTGCTCTCGGTTCGGGAGGTAGGTTATAGAAAGGGAAGGTGTTAGCACCCTTTCTATCCATGGTTATCCATGGGCTCTTAGATACTTGCTCATTTGTGTTTTCAAAATTGGTTTGTTTGCTTTTCAATTGTGGGTTTTAAAAAGTTTCTTGGAAAATTCCAGTTCGACTCTTGTATCAGTCCTCAAGAGTGTTTGAAAAAATGCTTTCGAAAGCTTTTTGAAAAGGTGTCGGTGTGAAAAGTATTTTTGAATTTTTGTTTTGAAATTTAGAGCAAGTATCTATGAGTTGTCTACCTACCCTAAGGAATTCGTCTGTGTAAATTTCCTTTAAAGTAGTGCCATCCCACCATTGAGAGGTAGGTAGCACCACCGTTGGAGGTGTTCGGGTCAATTCGAGGTTCGGGACATGGTGATCACCAGAGCAATGGGAAGACACCTTAGAAGCTACCCTCATGCCAGGTTCCCGGATCATGAGGACTTACTAAGACATCCTCTACTCGACGATCACCTTTCGAGGCAAGGCAACAGTGAGGCGTACCCTAGGGGTGGTGTGTGCGATTTGTGTGTCATTTTCAGGTATTTATCTTGTCATGTTATTGGTGTTCTACGCTTTGTTTTTATTTTATCATTCATTCTTGCATGCGATTGTTAACAGTTAAAAATATTGCAAAAAAGTAAATTCTAAGCTATTACAAACGGCGCGGGTCCACATCGCCAAAAATTTCTCGAACCCGATTTGACAGAAAATAAATAAACAAAGTAAATAAAGAATTAAAAGTGCGAGTAATTAAATACATGGCTTTGGGAGAGATACATCACAATTATAAGAACAAAAATAAATATGCGAACTAAAAACGAGGGCGTTGGACCCTTTTTGCAAAAATTAAATTAATGAGGAATTAATTAATTAAAAAGAAAGAAAGAACTTGTTTTTTGGTATTTTTTAGTATTTTAGGATTTAAATGAAAAAGAAAATTAATTAAAATTAAAATAAGATGCAAGCCCTAATCCTAATTATTTTTAATTTATTAAAAAAAACATTGAATTTTAACCTAAATTAACCCTAATTTTTATATGCAATTTAATTGTAAAAAATAAATATCTAATTATTTAATTATTATGGGAGAAAAAGAAAAAAAAGGATAAAAAATTAATATGAACCCTAATTCTTTGTTTTTTAGATTTTTATTAAAAGAATTAAAATTAACACCCAATTTAACTAATTAATTTATGAACTTATTTACAAAATATTAACTAATTAAATATATTTAATTTTTGGCCTTTTCTGATTTTTTATGGTATTTTGTGATTTTATGAAAATAAATAAATCAAAGAAACAAATGAAATTAATTAAAATAAAGAAAGGAAAAATATAAGAAAAGAATAGAGAAAGCAAACCCTAGGGGGTTCAGTCCCACATTGGGAGGTAAAGTCCATGTGATTAGGCCCATTATGTCTTGGCCCTTCTGACTTTTGCGTTGGCATGTGAGACGGTTGACTTGTGTTCATCATACACTCCAGATCATGGCCTTTTGATTGATCTCAGGGTGTACATGGAAGGTGGGATTTTGTGGACGTACGGTAGTCGCTTGCCTAGAGACTGCACAGAAACACATTGAAGAAAAAAATATAAGGAAAGGGAGGGGACCTGGGATCGAACCCATGTCCTGAAGGTCATCAACGCATGTGCCTGCCAATCGTGCCACTTGGTTACTTTGTATATTAAATAGCTGGAGAATAATATAATAAGAAACAACGATTAATGGGAAATTTAGCGCGCAAATTTAAATGGACCACTCATGCCTTGACACAGCATCATCTTCTCCGTTTTGTTTTTTTTCCTGAAAACACAAAGACAATAAACAACGGTTTTGAACCGTTCTGTAATATACCATTAGAGAAAATAACGAATAGGCAATAAGGCCTCATAAATTAAGCGCGATGGTTGATTTTGAACCGTCCCAACATGCTGAATCCAGTTATGGTACCATGGGACCCTAATTTTTCCTGAACTGGGAAACCCCAATTCCAAGTTCTTCAAACCCTAAAAAACGATAATGGTGGATTCGCGTAGGGTGCATAAGAATTCAATCAAACATAAGGGTTAGCTTCAGGATTGAACATAGAACACAAATTAAACATCAAAAATTGTAAAAGGTGCATGAATCATGATGCAAGAAAGTGATAAATTTTCTGTACAGGGCATCGGTGTTCTCACGTTTCTTGATGTCAAAGTTTTTGGTTTTGATCCAAATCCCTTCTTTTAATCCTCAGCAAGCTAATGGAATCAGTATTGAGGCTTGAATCGCTTTAGAATTAGGTTTTCAGTTTTCCTTTTTCAAGCAAAAATTCCAAGTTCTTTTTGATGCTTTTCTGCGCAGCTCTGTGGTTTTTAGAATTAGGGTTGTGTTTAGGCTTATGTATTGAGTGAATTAGGTTAACAATTCTGATCAGAATCTCTTGCATTCATAGCTTTTGAGATTTGATTTTCCATCATTATTTTTTCAATCTTTCCATATGCTTTTTGATACAAATCAACTCCAATCTCTCCAAATATTTCCCTATTTGAATATGCACGAAATCTTGAGGATAAAACATGTACAAAAAGATTGGAAAACTTAGGTTAGCATTTTTCATGTATTTAATTTGATTTAAATGAATTATTATTAATAAAAATTCAAATAAATAAATAAAAAATGAATAAAACTTCCCTTTGGGCCAAGTGTTCGTGCACATGTCATGGATGATGAATTATGGAAGAAAAATGGGCCCATTAGCAATTTTAGGTCATTTGAATCAATGTTGACTTTTCAAAATATCCAAAAATTTCCCAACTTCCACAAGGCATAACTTGCTCAATTTTTAAGCTTTTCTCATGTTCTTGGACATTTTGGAAAGGTCTTTGAGTCCTCTAACCAATGTCTTTGGTCCCATGTCATTTTGAGTTACCAATCTCAAGTTATGGCCTTTGACTTAAAGTCCCTTTTTGTTGACTTTTGAAAATGACCTATAATGTTGAAATTGATAACCTTTTGTGAGAGAATTTCTTGGACTTGAAGTATGAAGATGAGTTGTAGGAAATGTCTTTCTCTTCAAAATGAGCTTTGGATGGAATTTTTCTGATAATCCATGTGAAAGTTATGCCCTGGTCAATTTACAGTTGACTTTTTCAGCTGTCCAAATAAGGAAACTTTTGCATCTTGATGATTTTTGAGCCAAATTTTGAGAATCATGATCAAGCATTGATCAAATGATGTTTGTGGCTTCAAAATGATATGTTGACCAAAAATTTGAACTTTTGACTGTCAAATGACCATTTTGCCCCTACAGTTGACTGTAGTACAATTAGGGTTTTTGACTGTGCAATTTTGTGCTGAAAGTCTTGAAACTTGATATGAGGATGCTTGACCATGTTTATAGGCATGTGAGACTTGATTGGACCATTGAAAACTTCATTTTCTTGATCAAAACAAAAACCCTAATCTTGACTGTTTAGGAGACCCTTGACTGTGCAACCCTTAGGGAGATTTTGAGGCTTGGCTTGGCAATTTCTTGAAGAATATGGGAGGGCAAATTTTGGGGTACAACACACATCAACAGATAGATAGATAGAGTTACCTCATAAGCCTTCTCACTGATGTTGTTTCCTGACTATTTGAAGAAGAAATGCTAGCAAAAGTATGCACAGTAGTAAACTTGAATAGCTTGAATATACAAAGATTCCAAATTTAGTAAAACATAGAGGTAACGGGAGCAAATGGAAATTACAATGATGGCAACAATGCGAATGAACACGCGGCTCCTTGTAGAGGGAGCTGAATATTCAAAATTAAAGTCTAGAAATTCATGATTAGCAGGAAACAATGCTATGAACTGATAATTATTGAAACCAACTCTTGGAATTTCCCAGTTGCCCCTGAAAGATAATTAACAATCTTCTATCATCATTTGATCCGTAGAAAAGGAAATTAACTAAAGAATAAATAATTAAATACCTATAGTGAAACAAAGGAGCTTGAGGAGCAGTGTAGCCTTTAAATTGCTGCATTCAACAACACAATCAACAAAATAGAGGGGAACATAATTAAGCATTTTTTTCGTACAAATTTGAATAACTTATATGTTGAGTAAGACAATAGAAACAAAGTGCAGACCTGTTGGCAAATCTCACAAGTAGTATCACCTTTCTCATTGCACCATCTTTGCACACATATTCTATGAGCATACTGCAATGTACCAGAACAAGAACAAGGTGTATCCATGTTTAAGTCTTCATCTTCATCGTGACATATTCGACATTGTACCAACGTATTAGGCGAACATGACTCAATTTGATCAACCATTTAGAATGGAAAAAAAAATCACATCAACATTGTTTGACCATAGAGTTGTAATCCTTAAGATTTAGGATGAAGTAATCAATCAACAAAATCAAACCAATATCAAAATCAAAAGCACTAGAAAATATTTTCTTTTGAAAAATTATAACTACAATATAGACCAATTTCATTATATGAGTAGTTGCTTTTAGTTGTGTTTGCCTAAGGTAGTAGGTTTGGAAAAGGTAACGGAAGAAAGGAACTTTAATTCCACATACTCAAGAAAGGTATTACTGTTTAGCAATTTGAAATTCAAACACAAACATTAACTACAAAAAAAAAGTATATATGAATCTTGGGATTGCCTATGAATATTGACATTGGAATATCAAAAATATTTCTTTCCATTAAATGAATGGTGGTCCAAATGTTGTGATGAAACCTTCCTTCAAATAAAATACCAAACTTCAAGCTTTTATTTCAACTACCACCAAAACAACAATTCAACACGATCAATTTAGGATTCAACAAGTCCTTGAAGTATCACACAATATTTAAAAGAGACAATATCTTGTAAACACAATACCGACTTTAAGGATTCAACGAAGTCCTTGAGATCTCAGGTCTGCTGTCTTACTCTCCACCATTGTTCTTCCATCCTGAGGAAATCAAAGAAGTTACATTGAAGATATATAACAATCATCGATGCGTACTATCAAACACATGAAATTCAGATAAACACATCAACAGATAGATAGATAGAGTTACCTCATAAGCCTTCTCACTGATGTTGTTTCCTGACTATTTGAAGAAGAAATGCTAGCAAAAGTATGCACAGTGACCTTCCCCTGCACTGAATTCCGAGCATGTATTACTTATGAATGCCTCTTCAGACATGAGGTGTTAGTGCTAATCTTCTTTTGCTCCATTATACCTATTTTCTCTAAACAGTACACTCTTGTTCCAAATCAGTTTATCCAACATCATGAAACACTTGTTTCTGCAGCTGGAACCTTTGAAGCAGGATTTTTCAACTTTGGAGATCCACAACGTCAATACTTTGGTATATGGTACAAAACCATATCACCTACGACTATTGTGTGGGTTGCCAATAGAGATACTCCTGTACAAAACTCAACAGGATTGCTGAAACTCACTGATCAGGGAAATCTTGTTATTCTTGATGACTCCAAAGGCGTTGTTTGGTCCTCCAATTCATCAAGAATTGTGGTGAAACCAGTTGTTCAGCTTTTGGATTCAGGAAATCTTGTTCTGAAAGATGCAAACAACACTTTGAACTTTTTATGGGAAAGTTTTGATTATCCTGGAAACACTTTCCTTGCTGGAATGAAGCTGAAAAGTAATTTAGTTACTGGCCCATATAGACATCTCACATCTTGGAGAAGCACAACGTTACTCATTTGGGTACCAAGAGCCTATGCCCGTTGAGCAGTTGGTTCAATCTCTCTGTGATACTAAGCAGGGTTACACACAATTCAATTCTAAAACAGGACTAGCACTGTGCCATTGGTGCCAACAATCAGGCAGCACAGTCAATTCTAAAACAGGACTACAAGGATGATATCACAAGGGAAGAAGCAGTTCAACTTGCACTGAAGGTACTGAGTAAAACTATGGACACCACTAGTCTTACCTCAGATAAGCTTGAACTTGCAGAAGTTTTTCTTTCACCCTCTGGAAAATTTAAGTATCAAGTTTTCTCCCCAGAGAATTTGACTAAGCTGTTGGTGAAGTCAGGAGTGACTCAACCCGCAACAGACACTGCTTAGCTTTCTGTTCTATGTCACGGGTAATTTACTTGCTAAAGTTTCCTACATGTGAGATTGTTCCAAAGTTTTTTTACGTTAAAACTTGTAAACTTCTCATACTTTGGTGATGCTAATGATTTTGCATTTCGTATACAGACTCGACAAAATTTGTGGATGGAAAGTGCAGATGGTGTTCAACGGCTCAAATCTTATTGATCAATAGGATCAAAATAGTTTGCAGGAATTTCCCCAGCAGTCAAAGATGCCATACTCAGAAACTGTTTGTAACCCCTACCCAAAAACCACAACCCTAAATGGCAAATTTTGAATCACATCTAAAAACCATAATTTTACACCCCAAGAAACTACAACCTGATAACTCAAATTAAAACTGAACAGGAATAAGAAACAGATGAACAAGTTAATATACCAAAAGCACAAGGAAAATGAAAACAATGAAGGCTAGTTTAATGAAAAGGGCTAAAACATGGATAGTGGCTAAAAAAGAATAGATGATACAGAAACTAAACTCAGAAATCTCTGCTCAGTTATAAAGAAAAGTGAAATATCAAAGATGGAGAGGAAGATGATGAAGAGAATGGTAGAGAATGGCATCAGGTTTATAACCCCTGTCAACCATGCGCTTAAGAAAGCGGAGAGCTCGATTGTACTTAGCTGATTTGAATGACCTAATGAGAGCTTCATCGTAATCTTGATCAAGTTTTGGCCTTGTTTCATTGACCCTGATTCTTGTTCTTCGGTTGTTGGTGTTGCCCGGGGTTGAGGAAGTGACGATAGTGTTGGGATTTGAACGGCGAGAAGTGCGGTTTGGGTGGTTTCTGAAATTGAGAGTGTGTGATAAGAATTCAGTTGAAAAGGTTGTCATTGATGATGATGATGATGTTATCGGTTGTTGTTGGAAGATTTATGGCTTGAGTTTGGACAAAATTCAGTATCATAGAATGGATAAGGGACGATACATATTTTATCCTAACCAAATATTATCCTAAAAAATCATTAAAAAAAATAAAACCCTAAAACAACAAATTAGAAAACCTAACATCAATTCAATATATTCAAACTCAAATGAAAGGTTTAAGGGTGCGACGGTTATTTTACCGTCGTGAAATGAATTTTAGGACGGATAATTTTACCGTCGTGAAAGGTTTAATGGTGCGACGGATGCTTTACCGTCGTGATATTCCTTTTAGGACGGTTAATTTTACCGTCGTGACTAGTTGTTGGTGAAAAATCAATGTTAAAAGTGTTAAATGGGGGCCGACGGTTATTTTACCGTCGTAATAATAATATTATGATGGTTAAATATACCGTCGCAAAATAAATATTAGGGACGGTTGGTGTCAACTGTCGTAAACACTGTCTCTATATGTCAATTACGACAGTTATCACATAACTGTCGCAATTTTTGTGTCGTTAAACACTAATTTTCTTGTAGTGAATGAGAAAATGGAACTTGTAAGAACATGTTTCCTAAAGCTTGACAAGACAAGTTGACTTTAGCATTCTTTCAGAACTTGCTTCAACGTCTTGAATTCAGAACATGCTTTGCTTATCTTGTAAACAATGCTTTGCTTGCTAAGAACTTGATCAACGCTTGCTTTCAAATAAACTTATGAACAACACTTGCTTTCAAGTAATCTTATGAACAAGGAATCCTGCTAAATGTTAGAAGATGCAATTAAAATAATTGTCTTACCAGAGTCAGCATCAGCAGTTGCGCTTAAAGCAAATAGTTCTTTCATTTAAAGAACTTCTTCCTATAATATTTAGCTCAGCACATCAAAAAGCTTCTGTCAGAACATTATCTGAAACATTCAAATACGTTCATCAGAGTATAAATTATCTAAAATATAATTTATTGTTATCATCAAAACTCTGAGATAGATCAAAACTAATCTTGTTCTAACAATCTCCCCCTTTTTTATGATGACAAAAATTATACAAATATAGAAATAAAATCTAATAAGAGATGAGAATATCCCTCTGAAATGAATATTTCTATATAAAAAACTTCCTGAGATTATTTATCAGAGTATTGAAGATATCTTCTTTGATTTCTTCAGAGCTTCTTTTGAAGATAATGTTCAGCTGAATTACTCTTCCAGAGTTTAAGTGATACCTGCAAAAAAAATTCTTTTGCACATAGAAAGAAATCTTGTATTTTGTTAGAATGTCTGAGACTTAGTCCCATAACTGTTAATCAGATATTAGATCAAAACACTTATTTACTCCCCCTTTTTGGCATAATCAAAAAGTATATAAAAAATAGATGAAGAGCTTAAAAGTTTTCATAAAAATAGAAAAAGATATCCAGAAGTACAAAACAACAAACAAAAGACAAGAAACAGAAAGACACTAGGATTTCTTAGTAACAAGAGCCATCAGAAGATTCTTGATCTCAGAGGCAGATTCTTCTTGTTTCACCATCCAATTCCTGATTTCTTGATTTATCTGGTCTTGCTTATCCAAGATCTCATGAATGACTTTATTCTCCCTCTTGAGCTCATTCAGAGTATCCATGATAAGTGAAGTAGGAGCAGAGGATGACGAAGCTTCAGCAGAAACAACCTTTGGAGCAGCAACCGTTGAGTCAGAACGTACAAAGGTTGAAAGCAGAGTGTCCAGATCCATCACAAGAGTTGGCACAGGTTCAGGTGCTGCCTTTGCAGAAGGTTGATTCAACAGAACAATTGCCAGAGGATTTGAATCTTCAGAGGATTCTTCAGATTCATCTTCTGAAATGTCCATTTCATCATCTGGAGAAACAACAATCATCAGAGAAGACTTCTTGTTCCAGACATCAGTAGCTTCTGATTGAAAGGCATGAAGATGCTTGGAGAAGTTTTCAATCACCTGAGAGTGAAATAAATCTTGCAGCTTCAGTGACTCAACATCAAAAGTTCTTCTGAAAGATTCCCACAGAAGATTTGTTGCAGCTGGGTTCACACTTATGGAGTTGTCTTCCTTCAGCAGATTCAACCATGCTTGAACTTCTGTTAAAAAATTCTGAAACAATATATTTACATCTGGCTGAACAGGTTTTGGGACAGTCTTCTTGAAAGTTTTGTTTTTCAAAAATTGTAGAGATTCAAAGTCCACTACAGTTCTTAAAAAGTTAGCAGGTTCAGAATTTGTTGTTGGTTCAGGAGTGGTTGAATGGTCAGGTTGGTCAGCAAGGTTAGGTGGTGCTGATTGATCATGAGGTTCAGATGATGCATGAGTTTCAGAAGGTTCAAAAGTTTCATGTGGTTCATGATTTTGGTGTTATGGAATATGAGGAGGTGAGAGTATAGGTGAGTTTGATGTTGGAAGTTGTGGTGAAGTAGGTGGTGTGATGTCAGGTGAGATAATGATTTTATTTTCAGCAGTGGGAATGGGATTTTGTTGTTGTGGTCGATTCATGGCAAAAAAAATTTTAGACGGTAGGTTGAATGAAGGATTTATAGTGGCCAGAGGTTCATTGATTCCTGGTATTCTCCAAGAGCCAGCATCATACCATCCAGTAGGTCTGGGTGATAATGGTCTGGGAGGAGGTCTTGAAAAGTGTTCAGTAGGAATTGGTTGAGAAACAGGTGGTTCAGAGGGTTTTGAGTGAGATGGTTATGATTGGGTTTTAGAGTGTTCATCAGAGTCAAAGTCACTCAAGTATGATAATACTTGATTTCTTTGAGGGTTGTCAGCAAAAGGGTCAGAGGGTATGGTTAGGTCAATATCAACATCTATATCTCCTAAGGTTTGGGGTTCAGCAGATGTATATATTGACAGAATCATAAACAGTAATAATTTCAGCATGTTTACCTGATTTTTTCTTCTTCTTCTGAGGTGTGGCAAAAGGTCCTTCAACTTATTTCCTCTTCAAAGGTTGCTGAAGTACAACATCTGGAGCAACTTGATTTCTTCCTTGGAGCCAAGCTGGATCAATAGGTGTTCCAGTCTCTTTATAGATTTCAATGTAGTGCAGGATGATACGTGGATGATCACTTGAGTTGAACAGAGGGAAATCAGCAATAGGTATCCTTCTTCTCTTCACAGTGGCTGACACATACAAAGTTGGTTCCACCAGCAACTTGTCAATAATTTTCCTCTTCACTAAATTCTTCCCAGTCATAGTCTTTCCACAAGTAGGCTCTAGCTCCCCCAGAAGATTAACTTCATCTAGGTGAGCAATCAGACCATTCTCAGTCAGAATTTCTGATATTAATCTACCCATAGGAATCCAATTCCTTTTGGATTTGGGGTTTTTCATCCTTTCAGCTTCCCTAGTCTCTTTACATGATTCCATAGATGTTCAAACAGCAAATAAGGTAAATCAATTTTTACATTTGTTCCAAGGCAGAACAACAAGTATTGTTGATCAACATTAATGTAATCTGGAGAGCTAGTTTCCTTCCTATGGTGAATATACCCATGGATTATTCTTGCCCAAATCTTATACTTATCTTTCAAGTCCCTAACTTTAGAAGATCCTTGACCATTTGTGAAAATTTATGAGTAGACCTTTGAGATTTCTATTCTTCCACTTGGCATACCTGTTACTCTAAGTCCTTTAAAACCTAGCAACTTTCTTATTTGATTTTCAGTAATGGAGATTTCCTTACCCATTACGAAAGAGAGGATAACTTTAGGGGTTGCAATTGCATGTATCCAGAATTCCTTCACCAGGTGTGGAAAAACTGGACCAATAAGACGGTCAAAAAAGTTTTCCCAACCTTGAAACTTAACAGCAGGAATCAAATCAAAACCATTTTCTCTTAGATTTTCAAAATCCACCATTAACTCACTTAACACTTCCAAGCTGTCTACAGGAATGAGAGTTGTTCTCTCAGGCACGATGTATTGCTCAGAGTGGATGTTCTCAGAATGGGTAGAGGAAGAAGCCATTGGAGCTATTAGAGTTGAGAGATGAAAAAGGGTTTTAGAGAAAAAATCACAGAAACGTTTGAGTTTTGGAAGAGACGGTAAAAAATGAAAAAGGGTTTTTCCAAAAGTATTTATATGAAAAAGTTTTAGAAATAGGTTTAGAAATAAAACTGTAAAAAAAATTTAAATAATTTAAAACGAATCTCATCATTACAAGCATTTAATGATTTTGCCAAAATTAGGGGAAAACGTGAGATTAGTTAATCATAACAGTTACCTAGAACGGCGTCAGTAGATTTTGCACGCGTGACCTTTCAGAAACACACCACGTGTTCATCTCCTGAAGGTTGCATGGGACAACTGTTTGTTCTAATGAATTTCTGAACTATACTTAGAAATGAAATGTTAGAACATTTCAGAACTTTTCATATAGCTTCTGATGTAACTTCTCTTCTAACTTCTGAAGAGTTGTTACTCAGAACATTCATTTCTGAACATTCTGAAGTCAAACATAGAAGATAAATATTATTTTATTCAGGACATAATTCCATACAAATATTTTTCAAAATGAAATTAAATCTATCTTCTGAAATGGGTTTGGTAAAAATGCCAGCCCATTGATGGTCTATTTTTACAAAAATTAAATTTAGAATTCCCTTATGAATATAGTCCCTTATAAAATGATATTTAATTTCAATATGTTTAGCTTTAGCATGTAAAATTGGATTTTTAGAAAGACAAATAGCAGAAGTATTGTCACAGAAGATAGGAATCTTAGTTTCATAAAAATTTAAATCTTCTAGCTGACTTTTCATCCAAATCATATGAGAACTACATCCAGCAGCAGATATATACTCAGCTTATATGGTTGAAAGTGCAATTGTTGCTTGCTTCTTGTTGTACCACGAGATAAGATTGTCACCTAGAAACTGGCAGCTTCCAGAGGTGCTTTTTCTTTCAATTCTATCTCCAGCAAAGTCAGCATCATAATAACCTACTAGTCTG